ACTGAGATTGCTCTTCTGCATAATTCTTCAAGTTGGCAGCCCATCTAACCCCATGGGACTTTGGCAAAAATACAAAGAGAAAATCCAAACCTCGACGTCACCTTTTCTGATGTCATCTTCAACCAGGCCCTCATCCTCCTTGAGGACAAACTTCACTTCATTGGTGGAAAAGACCTCACGTCTATCGGACTACCAACACCCTACGGAGACAATCTGCATGCCATTGCTCAATATATCCTACGTGAAATATCCTATGATGGTTTAGAGCTTCTTAAATTTATTGAGGAAAATTAACCAAAGCATATGGATGCACAAAGAGAAGCCTACACGAAAATCTTGGAAGACATTGAAACTAAAAATGGAGGCATTTTTTTCGATTTAAAGCTTTCGTGACTGCAGGGATTCATCTTCTTGGTTTTTTCGGTAAAGTCACGTAGAAGGGAAGTAATAAAATAATAAAAATAAAACATAATAAAAAAAGAATGTTAAGGCCCTCTTCTTCCACCTCCAACTCAGCTTATATATAAGCTCCTAGCTTGGCAGTGTCTCATTCTTCACCTGAAGACGGCTGCTTGCGTTGTAGCCGAAACGTCGTGCGAATTATTTTATTATGTTTTATTTTTATTATTTTATTACTTCCCTTCTACGTGACTTTACCGAAAGAACCAAGAAGATGGAGGCATATTTTTCCTTGATGCACCTGGTGGTACTGGGAAGACCTTTGTTCTCAACCTGCTCCTCGCTAAGGTTCGACAGAGGGAGAAATTGCTCGAGCTGTGGCATCATCGGGGATTGCGGCAACTCTGCTTACTGGAGGAAGACCTGCCCATTCCACATTTAAGCTTCCATTGGATCTATCGCGACAAGAAAACCCTTTTTGCAATATTTCAAAGGGGACTGCCCTTGCACAAGTCCTGCTTAACTGTGAATTAATAGTGTGGGATGAATGCGCCATGTCGCACAAGGGAGCATTTGAGGCTGTCAACACAACTTTAGAGGACCTCCGTGACAATTCCAGGAGTATGGGTGGTGTAACTTTCCTAATGGCTGGTGACTTCCGACAAACCTTACCTGTTGTACTTCGAGAAACCAAAGCTGATGAGTTAAATGCCTGCATCAAGTCATCATTCCTCTGGAGCCACGTGATGAAACTGAAACTAACTACAAACATGCGTGTATATCTCCATGGAGACCAAGAGGCAGGCAACTTTGCTGAAGCTCTTCTTCATATTGTAAATGGCAGTATTGTTGCTGCCGCCACAGATGGACTTATCACCATGTCTAAAGGCATCCTTTCCACTTCAGAGCAGGAACTGGAAGAAAAAGTGTACCCAAACATGCAACACTTTCAAGATGTTATCTGGCTACGGGAGAGGGTCATTTTAGCTCCGAGATATGATGCTGTTCTCAGAATCAATTCCATGCTGTTGCACAAATTACCTGGAGAGAACAAGTCCTACAAATCTATTGACTCAGTGTTGGACCATGATCAAATTGTTCACTATCCAGTTTAATTCTTGAATTATTTGCAGCTCCCGGGTGTTCCACCACACAACTTGGTACAAAAAATTGGGGCACCCGTCTTGCTATTGAGAAACTTGCACCCACCTCGACTATGCAATGCCACAAGGTTAATTGTCAAAAAATTACATTCAAATGTTATCAAGGCTACAATTACAGGCAATTCTAAAGGTGAAGACGTATTTCTCCCTCGCACACCTATTATCTCAAACGACACCGTCTTTGAATTTAGGTTTCAATTCCCCATCCAGCTCAGCTTTGCAATGTCTATTAACAAGGCGCAAGAACAATCTCTAAAAGTGGTGGGACTGAATTTGTGAACTCAGTGCTTTTCTCATGGCCAACTTTATGTTGGATGCTCTCGTGTAGGCAATGACGAATATTACTTTGCACCTGCAGGCAAGACCAAAAACATTGTTTACAAGATAGGGTGGTGCAGCTCAGCAATAAGTGTCAGTGTCATTATTTTTGAGAGGCCCTATTTGGTGTTTTATTACCTTGGAGAGCAGGGGCGGTTTCTTCATTAGGGCGATTGGGCGACGCACCACCAATGTCATTCAACCACAGAGTCACGCGAGCCGTCACTGTGCCTCTGGATATAGTCCAATCAGCGTCATGCTACGTTCTGTGGAGTACCGCCTCTTTTTGGGCGATTTCCCTCCAGCTGAGAATCGCCCCGAGTGGCCCCATAGACTTACATTCATAGATGTTTTTTTTCGAACGGGGCCGCTGCAATGCATTCTCTATGGCTTCCGGGAGGGCTTGCCCTAACGTGCTTACGTCATCATACGTGCTTACGTCATCATACATAAGCACGTTTCATCCAACAATATAATTTGTCGCCACCTAGTGGAATCTTTAATAAAATAAACTTGCGTGGTTTGTTTTATTAGTGAGTATAGAAACAAACAAGATGTATTGTAAGAGTCACTTTATTTTTCATTAATATTAAAGAAGTGAAGTTGCCTTTACATGCTTAAGCTGTTAATTTATCCATTGCATGGGTGGACCTTATCCTTATCAATCATCCAGACATTTGCCCCCCCTGAGAGATTTTGCAGGAGCCGCCACTGTTGGAGAGGCTCTTGCTTTCGTTGCGCACGCGACTCCCCTCCCACGTGTGCTGCTTGACCCCACGCCAGCTGGGGGTCAGTTCGGCTGTCGGCGGTTGCTCGCTGAGCCACTACCACACTTCGCTGCCCTGTGCGGCCTTCACATCGCTTCCTTCCCGGGTATCCTGCCTGCACCTGCGCCTGCCAGCCAGCATTTCGGCGGCCTGGCTGCCGGCGACTGTTCATGATGGCGATCATGTAGCGCGACTTCCTCGCCGTCCCACATCTCATCGCTCCATCTCCAATTCTCCTGCCTGCCTTCAAGCCTGCCAAGTGTCCTGTCGGCGGTCTGGCTGTCAGCGGTTGTTTGCGACACTGCCCACGAGCTGTTATTATTTCGCCACGGCCATTACCTGCCCTACCTCCCTTCTCCCCATTTAGCCCATTTATATTTTACACATTATAGACCTTCTGTGCTTCCTCAAGCCCCTTACTACAGTACAATTAAAAACAACAGTAATAAAGACTACAGTACAAATACTTAAATCTTTTTATACCATTAACCATTTACTTATGACTCATAGCATGCAATACAAGACAAAGGCATATCATACAAGTTCAGTATGATCTTCACCTTTGATTAAAGTGTGCTGATTCTCAAAGGTGCATTAACAATTGCTTGCATTTTCCTTCTTTATTGGTTCTTTCCCTAACATTATGTACATAGAAAACTAATATTAACATACTGAGTTAGTCAATAGAAAACTTCAAATGTTTTTGTGTAAGTCTACGTCTGTGTGTGTAACTCTATGTGTGTGTAAGTGGATGTGTGTGTCAGTCGCTATGTGTGTGCTTGTTTAAGTCGATGTGTGTGTGAACCGATGTGTGCGTGTGAGTCACTGTGTTTTAGTCCATATGTGTGTAAGTCGATATATTTGTGTGTGGGTCGATGTCTGTGTGTGTCTAAATCGATGCGTTTGTGTCTTTTTCGTCCGGGCAACGCTGGGTACTTCCCGCTAGTGTAAGATAAAAACGGGTGTTTGGATGATAATGGGAGCAGGTCCATTGTAAACGAAATGAAGAACGCAAATTGATCAAGTAAAAATATCCTTCGGTTACCTATTTAACCGATTTAAACTGGTATTACAATTTTACCCAATTAATCAATCACATATGTGTCTCGCTTAACGAGCGTTCTTTCTTTTTGCGGCAATTCGCTATAACTAGAAATTTGAATCTCGCCAAATTTGTTCGCAAAACGAGCAAATCTTAGCAAAAACGAGTGGAGACCGATCGATAAAATGTGTCCCGTGGCTGCAGGGGACGCACCACGGCCCGCATCTGTTTGTTAAGCAGCTGTGTTGCGTGAACCTCGTAGCTGCACCGTAATGGGTGGATGGCGGGAGGGGTGGATGGGTGGATGGCGGGCGGGGTGGATGGCGAGAGGGGTGGATGGCGAGAGGGGTGGATGGCGAGAGTGGTGGATGGCGAGAGGGGTGGATGGCGAGAGGGGTGGATGGCGAGAGGGGTGGATGGCGAGAGGGGTGGATGGCGAGAGGGGTGGATGGCGAGAGGGGTGGATGGCGAGAGGGGTGGATGGCGAGAGGGGTGGATGGCGAGAGGGGTGGATGGCGAGAGGGGTGGATGGCGAGAGGGGTGGATGGCGAGAGGGGTGGATGGCGAGATGGGTGGATGGCGAGAGGGGTGGATGGCGGGAGGGGTGGATGGGTGGGTGGCGAGAGGGGTGGATGGCGAGAGGGGTGGATGGCGAGAGGGGTGGATGGCGAGAGGGGTGGATGGCGGGATGGGTGGATGGCGAGAGGGGTGGATGGCGAGAGGGGTGGATGGCGAGAGGGGTGGATGGCGAGAGGGGTGGATGGCGAGAGGGGTGGATGAGTGGGTGTGGAGAGCGGTGGCGCAACTATTCGCGCGGTGCTATGAACCCGGCAAACGCGAGTTCGATTCTCGCTCACGGCCAACACCAGTGACAATTGTCTGAAATGGTCCTGGGCCTCCCCGAGACCGGCTCAGACTCGAAAGAGCATCATATGAAGGCCACACCGTGCTCGTTAACAGCACTTGGCCCACAACAGTCTGTTAAAGCTACACAGGGGATCTGGCCCCGTGGTTCTTCGTGTGTGGCAAGTGTTATATTTGATGCTGTATTTTTTTGAAATGATACAGTAATTTGTATTTCTCATTTTGTAAAAAGCTGTTCAAGAGTGGAACATGTTGATGCTGAAACGTGTCTCAGCGTTTAACAATGGCACCTGCCAGAAAAGCTCACTGGTCGGATTATGTCCAGGTCCAGATCGGTCAAAGACCTGAGAGCTTTGCGAACAGAATTTCAATCCACATTTCCACAATGTGTTGTGGATTGCTCTCCAACACACCAGTGGTGTGTTTAAGCAGTCATAAATTGGCACGTTTGTTTATAAAAAAAACTTTATTGGCTGTTAGGTAAGGGAGGGTGTACAACACACATTTTATTCATGCGATCCGAACCAAAAATCAATAATTACTCGTAATATTGGTTGCAAAAGCCCTAGACTGTGTTAAATTAAAGTCCACCATGGCACAACTTTAAACATAAGTTTGACTCCTAATGAATCATCTATTCGACAGCGGTGGCGGTGTTTATGGTGTTGTTTCACAATTTGCAAATGGAATGTCAAAATAAACATGGGTTTTAATCAACAAACTGAATTTGTACTCTTTGGTTCTTTCGGTAAAGTCACGTAGGTATAAAATAAAATAAATTAAATCACGACGTTTCGATCGCAACACAAGCAACCATCATCAGGTGGAACAGATACAGCAGGAGAACTGCTGACGTAGGAGAAAGAGCTGCTGCAACAAGAGTTTATATCGGATTTTGGTGGGCTCAACCCAATGGTAAGTGGGAGGAGCTAGACAAGGAATTTGTACGTAAATGTAAATGTGAGAGATTAGCATGTCAATGTGAGAAGGTCCCCAGCCACTGGAGGTGGTGGGAATTTCGCTTGTGTTGCGATCGAAACGTCGTAATTTAATTTATTTTATACCTACGTGACTTTACCGAAAGAACCAAAGAGTATGGATCCCTGCAGTCGCGAAAACTTCAGATCTAAATTAAACTGAATTTGCTTAAAGGATGAGGTAAGAGAGAGAACGCGGCACACGAGCGTTGTAAATATAATTTGGCAGGATGGAGGAAGATAGAGCAAGAAGCTTGGCAGCTGCAGTTGCCCAAGCTGCTGCAGTTGTGGTAGTTGACATTGCACTTGTTGTTATTGTGAATGCCGGTAGTGGCTGTTGCCGGTAGTGGTTGTAGCTGCTGTGGTGTTTGTCAATGAGGCTGTAGTGATTGTGGTAGGTGTGTATGTGGTGGTTGTTGTTGCAGTTGTTGCTGTAGTTGTTGAGCCCATCTCAACTCGGCCATTATGGGCTCAGACTCCCAGGGCTCCAGATGCAGACCAACAGAGAAACTCCGCACAGCCTGAGAGGAGAGATTCCAATTATTGCACCAACTGCAACTCCGACTAAAACTACCCACAAACACATTTATTCACAGTCACACAAAAACAAAGATCCCCTGTACAGCCGTCACAGACTGTAGGAGCAAGTGCTGTTAGCGCGTAGAACCTATGAAGATCGCCACGGCACACGAGGGGGTGAGTGGCCTGCACCACGCCCGACTGACTTTGTCTCTCCAGTGGCGATGTTAACGCACCACACCAGGTACTCATTTGAGGCCGAGTCGACCTCGGGAAGGGTCCAGGACTGGTTCAGATAATCGTCACTTGGCCGTGAGCAGCAAACTCGTGTCGCTGGGTTCGTAGCACGTGCTAATCGCTGCGCCACCACTCCTCGCACAGTAACAGTCACTCACAGACTTATTTACAATCTACACTCCTTATTTACAACGTGAGAAGAAAGCTTACAATCGGTGTAATGGCCACAATCAACACTAACCACAACTGAACAACCACAACAACAACCACTACATCAAATGCAGCGCCCTTATCGTCAGCAACCAACAAAACTACTAAATAAATGGGGTGCCAGTGACGCCACCCAGCAGGTCGATTCCATCAGGCCACCCTGGTCAGTGCAGTGGGGTGCATTAACTGTAACAATACGAGGCGTCTGCTTCGTTTCAAAAATAGATATTATATATCCAGTCTTTCTCGTCGTGTTTTCCCAATGTTCTGCACAGGCCACTGCTTCTGGTGTTGGCACTGCCAAATACTGAAGAGTGCACTGTGGTACTGCAGGGCATCTCAGGAGTTGATCCATGGTTTGCTTCTCATGACAAGCACATTGGTCGGTTGTGTAGAAGCCTCCTCGTGATTTCATGCGAGAGTTGCATTTGCCTAAACCCACTCTCAGTCTGTTTAGGCTCCACCATGTGAGACATTTGGAATTGAAGCCAGATGCGAGCTCCTAACTTGGGATGATTTTTCGCCGGCTCCAGTGAAGAAATTTGCAAGAGTGGTAGGCCACCGTGTGTGCTGTGGTGTCAGAGTCCAAATTGAAAAATTACCGCCAATCACTCAATTCGAATTATACACCAAAAGTATGACTCACTACATACGAAAAAATTGGCAGTACCCTCCTAAAATATTCGTATGACTCAGCGAGGTTTTCCTGGGTAAAACAAAGCATTTAAGAACTGATTATATTCTACTCTCGTGTGTAATGGCAGCAATATGTTCAGGAACTTAGTGCCAATGCCGAGGTCTGCTGGCCATGAGTTGGCTTCAGGAGAGTGTTCGTATGGTTTTGCTGTTCCTCCATTAAAGGAGCACAGAGCATAGTGGTTTACTATATGGGTCATAGTTCGGGTTGCATGGCCACAAGAACACTATGGTTTGTCTTTATAATGTATTTCTGTATCTCTATGTATCTCCGTGGGTCTCTATGAATTTACTATATGCTTCCATAATTTGGGTTGCATGGCCACAATCACACTACCGCGACTTGTCTTAATGTTCCATTCACGAAGGAGACGTACGCATCAGCCTCGTGTAAAGTTTTATGTTAAAGGGGCCTGGAACTTAATCTCCCTTGTACGCTATAATTCTGGAGTTTACTCTGCACGGATTAACTTTACATGGTTTTTTGTCAGAGCAATGGTCAGTTGTACGAATTATAATAAAATGTACTCAATCACTTCACACCCTGACAACAACAACCACTACACAGGGTGTGTCGATGGTCCTCAGAAAGCGGTGGAGGCTGTGGTGATGTTGCAGAGGGATTCGGGCAGTGCTTCCAAAACTTGGGGTCTCGACCCCACCAAATGGTGTCATCTCAGAAGATGGGTCGCGAGAAATGCAGCCCAACCCCGCGAATCTGACACTCACGAATTTAAAGTTTTGGTCGTATAAAGCAATAGGGAGGCATAGAGAGACGTCCTAGACATTTTTACCATTGAAACTGTGTTTTTGTTTGGGGGTAACCCCAAAACATCTGCAACAAATCACAAACCTGCATATTGATTTGATTCAAATAATACAGCTTTCTGATCGGTGAAGAGAGACGTCCATCTTTGAGCATTGTGGGAATTGCAGTTTGTTCCGTCTGAGTGAAAAACGTCTCTGTGCCTGCGTGTGCAACGTAAAAGCGGAGAGATGTTTGAAAAAATCTGCCTCTAGTCGTCAGTCCACCGACTTCGGCGAGCGAGAAAAGTAACTTCAAGAAAAGTGTTTGCAAATTCGAGGAGACACTTCTCGCGAATGGCTTCACAGGTGTGTTTGAGAAGAACGAAGAAAAGCCAACATGCCTTCTGCGTCTATTTGCTGTGCTCAGCAAAGCAAATAGCGGGTCCCTTGTTTTAGATGCCATCGATTAACGATATTTCGATTAAATGATCTGCCTACCATAGGGTCCCATTGTTTCTATTAACGATACATTTTCGATTCAACGATAAGTTTTACAATATAACGCGGACCTGCCATTTTAGATCAATAGGAGCGCTCCTACGCGGACTTGGCAGACCTCAGCCAATCAGCGACACTCTTTAATGAGCATTTTGAGTGCAACAGGCTGCTAGCTTTTCAACTTTTTACGTGTGTTGCTTATGGAAACAGCTCTCTTGAATACTTAAGTGATTTTTTTACTTAAAAGTTAAAAAAGATCAATAACAATGGCCCCTAAAATGAATGTGAAGAAAGCAAATAAAGTGAAGAAAACAGTTAGTGTGCCTTCAACTTGTATTTCCTATATTCAATTCACGATAATTTCAATTAATGGATCTGCCCGCAGCTGAAATCAAACATCTCATCGGCTTTTGTATGGAACACATTCCCAAACTCCTCTTCCAGAATTCTGGTTCACTGCGAATACCCTGAAATCTTGACGAGTGCCATGAAACTGATGGGTGTTCTTGGCAAACGTGCACACGTGTCTGTGTGTGTGCAGCCAGATTCAGCGTACTCCTTTGCATCAAGTCTAAGTTACAGATTGACTCTGGATGCCACAGCTGATGGTGGTAAGAGGTTAACTACCTCGCCTGGTGTGGAGGACCCTGACGCCTGTTTATCTTGAGTTTGCATGTTCTCCCCATTTTCGTGTGGATTTTTCTCCAGGTCCTCCGAATTTTCCCTCCACATTTAGAAAACATGCGTTGAGAGAATTTGGCTACTATACATTTCCAAGTGATAAGCCACTTGGTTGAGCTATCATTTGTGGCCAGTTCGTTTATGAAAAATTGCTATATAGCTCAATGAACCTTGCCTGGTAAAATAAAAAATAGTTTAATGGATTAGTTTTTATAGATATGCAATAGCAACCACACTGCCAGACTTCAGAAACTGTCGCATGTCTGAAGCTCACATGTCTCAGCAGACCCTGATGAGTATGTCAAACCCTCACTCTTCCAGAATATCTTGATCAAAACGTATATTTTCAAATGTATTGTTCCACAATACCGAAACTCCAAACAAAATCAATGAGAAAATTGACACGCGTTCTTAAATAATGGCCGGGATCATATGAATTTTTCCCGTGTTAAAATACTACCCCTATCCCCTCCCTTTGATGCTGCTAATCCTACATAATGCACGGGCATAATATGACTTTGAAACCCCCCACCCATCTCCTATGCATTTCACAAGTAGTACTAATCACATACCTGCATTTCCCATAAATATGCTAAATTCCTCTTGATATGCAAATTATTTTGTCAAGGCGCACATCCCCCCTTCCAACCCAGCTTGAATAGACGCTCCAAGCGTGGTGGTGTTTCATTCAGACGCTGTCTCCCCGACAGACCTGTTCTTCACCTGAGGACGGCTGCTTGTGTTGTGGCCGAAACGTCGTGAGAATTGTATTTTATGTTTTATTTTTATTATTTTATTATTTCCCTTCTACGCGACTTTACCGAAAGAACCAAGAAGAAAAATTAGGTCTATTGAAAAATTGTTTGTAAAGCGCTGGGTTAGGGGTCTCACCATGGCAGGTTCCCCCAGGTTGAGCTGGGCACGGGCCAAGGTGAGCCAGGCCGGGGCCCAGCACGCACAGATGGAGACGGAGCGGTGAGCGGATTGCACAGCCTGGAACCACTCCCCCAGCTCCATGAGAACCTACCAGACTCACCAGTTACTCAACATCCTGACCAGACTTGACCAGTCACTCGCACTCACCAACTCGCTGCCTACCATCTTCACTCACCTCCGATTAACAAAGATTGGCTACATACAGTGTGAGAGAAGTTCAACATACATACTCCATCATTCATGAATGCACCCACTCACCATACTCTAAAATCAATCAGTTCTTTACTCATTCATTCACTGCCGCATTCACTCAATTACACACTTACTGATTTCCACACACACTCACCTACCCATTAAATCATTTACCCACACTCACTAACTCAATCACCCACTCACCTTCTCAATAGTCGACTCACCCTCTAACTCGTACATCCACTTTCCCAAATACCCACTCATCCACGCTATCATACACTCACCCACGAACCCAGCCATTCATCCACTCACCTACTCAAATTCACCCAATGACCAATAAACTCACACTCACCAGCTATGTACAATCACAGATCATTAACCTACTCTTTGTATTATTTTTTGTTGTTGTTGCTGTGCTCACAAGACCATGGGTCTCCCTTGTAAAATAGCCATGTAACTGGCTAAATGGGACCATCCGTGTAACAAAACAAATAATAAAAAAATTAACCCGTAAAAACAAAGTTTTTCACTATAAATCCTTTATATGCATGGCATCGGTTTCATTTTATTATTCATTTCTGTTTTTCTTGAGTAAGCAAGCAAGCAAGTGAAGTTAATATAAAGGATTTAAAAATGAAAGATCACCTCTTGACATGCCCCGTATATTCCCGAGGGCACTAGCGTTGACCCGTTTTACCACTTTCAAGAACCTGGCGGCTTCAATTTAGCTTCTCTATAAATAGTCTCCCTTGTACAGTGTGGGGGCAGGGATTTCATGCCATGTGCTTAGTCAACATTTGCGTCATCATGAAACGGGCGGCTAGAGTCCTCTCGTCCTCTGGCTTGAGATGGCTGCCACCTATGGGTCAGATGATTGTCTGCCACCATTAAGCAATTGGTAATTAAATATTTACAAAAATTTCCCTAAACAGTGTAAAATTTAGGAATTTTTTTTCACGAAAATTAATTGTCACGCACAACGAGTCTGTGTGCAAAATGTCAGCTCGATTGGATCACTGGAAGTGGGTTAAAAAACGACCGAAAGATTTGCACGGTCCTAAGCAAGCACGCAAGCAAGCAAGTGAACTTAATATAAAGGATTTAAAAATGTACTCACCCACTCACTCACCCTCTTAGAAATCCACTTACTCACTCAACCACCCACTCACCTCATCCACACAAACTCACCAGTTGCTTATAATCAATAAGCACCAAGGATGAAATGTTAACTCCCTCGCCTGGTATGCAAGAGGTACATGGGTTCAATCCCGACCCTGATGCCTGCTGAATATTTGGAGTTTTATGTCTCTCTCTCCGTGGTTCGTGGATTTTACTCCAGGTCCTCCGGATTTCCTCCCACATTTAGAAACATGCGTTTAGATAATTTGGCTGTTATAAATTTCCACATGATAAGCCACTTCAATCTTGATTTAAAGCTTTCGTGACTGCAGGAATGCATACTCTTTGGTTATTTCGGTAAAGTCACAGTAGTTAGAAATAAAATAAAACAAATCACGACGTTTCGATTGCAACACAATGCAATCTTCATCAGGTGGGACAATCACAGCAATAAAAAAAAATGCTGAAGTGGGCGAGAGAGCTGCCATGGCAAGAGGTTATATAGGTAAGAAATGGGGGAGGAGCAATGGGGGAGAGAGGGGGGGGGGTATGGGGTAGGGTGAGGGGGGCACTGCTTGACCGCTGGGGGGAGAGAGGACGTGAGGACGTGAGACGGGGGGGCGGGGGAAGTGGGCGGGGCTGGAAGGGGGAGGCTGGGAAAGCTGGGGATGCGGGGGGGGGGAAATTAACTCGGAACAAGTATAACCCGTAAAAACAAAGTTTTTCACTAGAAATCCTTTATATGCGTGGCGGCTAGAGTCCTCTCGTCCTCTGGCTTGAGATGGCTGCCACCTATGGGTCAAATGATTGCCTGCCAACATTAAGCAATTGGTAATTAAATATAAAAACATTTTTCCTAAAAAGTGTAATATTTAGCAAATTTTTTTTCACGAAAATTAATTGTCACGCACAACGAGTCTGTGTGGAAAATGTCAGCTCGATTGACTCACGGGAAGTGGGTTAAAAAACGACCGAAAGATTTGCACGGTCGTACGCGCGCAAGCAAGCGAACTTAATATACAGGATTTAAAATGGACTAATACCCGGCAGATATGATGGAAACACCATAAACAGTTAAGGTTTTACCTGGTTAATATCATCCTTTCAATGATTGCTCAATTTGTATCCATCTTCCCGGTTGAAGTTATGTCTATGTTTATATATCTGGATGGCTTCATGAACAAACCTTTGATAGTAGCCCAAAGGTTTGCAGAGTATCTTGGTCTCGGAAAAAACATTATCATGCGAGCCCACAGCGTTATAACAATGGTCAGCCACGGCAGAGGTATTGGTTCTACCATGTTTCTGATCTGCCTTGTGTTCACCCACTTCAGCAATTTTTTATTGCTGTGGTTGTCCCACCTGATGAAGATTGCTTGTGTTGCAATTGAAACGTCGTGATTTGTTTAATTTTATTTCTAACTATGTGACTTTACCGAAAGAACCATAGAGTATAAGCCACTTCGTTGAGCTATCACTTGTGGCCAGGTCACTTCTGAAAAAGAACTATATAGCTCAGTGGAGCCTTACCTAGTAAAATAAATAATTCCCCTACTCATCTCACCCACTCTCTCAAAAACTCACCCACCCACCGACCAACTCACCCACCCAACCACAAACTCATCCACTCGCTCATTCACTCATGAACGCATGCACTGATATACCCATGTATCAGTTACTTACAATAAGCAATCATTCACCTACTCACCAACTCAAACACTCACCACTAACTCACTCACCCACCCACCCACTCACACACCTACTGACACTCAGTGGCCCATACAATCAACAGTTACTTATAATCACCAACCAATTGCCCACCAAATCAATCACTCATTAACTCATCTATCCATACATCCAGCCACCCACCTACACACTCACTCACTGGCCAAATCACCCACATCCTTACTAGTTACTTACAAACACCAATCATTCACCTACTCACCCACCCACCTGTGCTTTCATTTCATGTATCTTGGCATCATTTGTTGTCATGGCGATGGCCGTATCCCACAATCGTAAAGCCTCCCTCAGACTGGGTACCACAGGATACATGGGACAAAGGAACACGAGGATTAGAGAACACACTCAGATCGAACTCGTCACATTGAGCTTCATCGAGCTGTGGATACACCACCACCATGATGATGATAATACTAATTGCAGAGAATCTAACGAAAAATAACATCAATTTGAACCTGTTTTAACTGGTTTTAACCAGTAATATTGTTGAAAGGAAAACTGAACCAAAATGAAATGTGTTGATCTGGAATGAAACTCCCACCCATAAATAAGCATGTGGTTCGTAGTTTAAACCATCTCTTTGTGGCATGCGTGCTGAAGAAAAAATGACCGCTAATTTCCCTCGGCCCATTTCAACTCTTGTAATCGATGATGCTGAAGGGCACGTTAAAGCCGCGGTTCCACCTTCACTCCCCTTGTCAGCGTGACGTATTGTACATTAAGTTACAGGAACAAGAACAATAATGTCGACTTGTGTATCATGATGCACAGTATTTGCTCGCACGCCCAGAGAGAGAGGGAGAGAAGATGACTCGGCAGAGCCAGGAGAAAGCACAAACGAGCTTGCAAGGGCAGCAGCCAGGTGGTGATGAGCCGAAACTACCACCACAATTTCCACTAGCCCTGCTGTCCTCTACATATGAAGGGTACTATCGGCCAATTCTTGAGCGCTGGTTATACGTATGGGAGGAAACAGGAGTACCCGGAGAAAACCCACGCAATGCAGAGAGGACACTTTCTATCCCGTCCAACTAGGGAAATCTAATTAACTTAGATGGTGTGTTAGTGGGTGGGTTAATAAGTAAAGGAGTGGCTGCGTGAGTGGATGGGTGAGTAAGTGGATGAGTGAATGTATGAATGTGCGGATGAATGAGTGTATGAGTTATTGGATGAATGTGTGTATGAGTTATAGAATGAATAAGTGGGTGAGTGGGTGTTTGATTGGGTGGTATAAATGAGTGCATGAGTAGATGAGTTGGTGACTGGATGGGTCAATGAGTAAGTGAATGAATATGTGAGCGGGTCAGTCAGGAAATGAGTAAGTGGGTGGGTGAGTTAGTCGGTGGATGAGTCAATGTATTAAGTGGGTAGATGAGTGGGTGGGTGGATGAGTGGGTGAGTTAGTAGGTATTTGAGTGGGTGGTGGGTGAATGAGTGAGTGGGTCAATGAGTAAGTAATGAGTGGATAAGTGAGTATGTGAGTAGGTGACCAAGTGAGTGGGTGAATGAGTTAGTGAGCGAATGGGTGCATGGGTGATTAAGTTATTTGGTGGATGGGTGAGTTTGTAGGTGGGTGCTTGAGTGATTGGGTGGATGAGTGAGTGGGTGAGTGGGTGGATTAGTGAATGGGTGAGGGAAAAAATACATGAGTGAATGTATGTGTAATGACATAGTGACATCTACTGGTTGGAAAAGGGAAGCGCGGGTACAGGCACCACTACAAACATCATCCAATCCCAAAGGGAGAGGTATCTGAGCCAAAGGTAAAGGGCGGGGCTGGCCGAGATACTCCCGGAACCGGCTACAAGGTTCCACGAGAGGGTGTGACTGGAGGCGGAGCCTATCCGCGCCTGCGGCAATATAAGCAGAGGCGGAGGAGGACTCTTGGGTCGGCGTGGGGAGCCTTGGGTCCGGATTGCGTCGCTGCTCGCCGCCATCTCTATCCGTCGTTTGGCCACGTGGCAGATCTCCTGCGAAGTCCCACCACCCCTGCCGGCTCGCCGGCATGTTAGTGTGTAAGTGGGTGGATGATTGAGTGAGTGTGTAAGTTAGTGGGTGGATGAAGTAAGTGGGTGAATGAGTGGATGGATACGTGTGTAAGTGGGCGAGTGTGAGAGTGGATTAATGTACTGTATGAGTGAATGAGTGATTGAGGTGGTGAGTGAGCAGAAGAGTGAGTGTATGAGTGAGTGGATGAGTGAGTGGGTGGATGAGTTAGTGGGTAGATGAGTGAGTGGGTGGGTGAGTGAGTGGGTGAATGAGTGGGCACAAACTCTAACCCGCAGCCTTAACCCCAAAACCAACACTGCAGCATATGGGAATTGCGTGACTCACCTCCCTGACTCAGCGAGTCTCGCTCCTTCGTCTCTGAGCTCGCAGCATCGCAACGTCACTGAAGTTCCATCATCACCACCGCTGCCAAGACCACCACCATCACCATGCCTATACCCAGAAACATCAACATAATTTACATAATAATTATAATCATCGAAATGATCAGACAGCGTTATCACACACCATCTCCACTACCCTTCCCATCTGTGAAATGTTAACAAAAGCGTGGATAACACACATCATTATCATTAACATTACCAACAACACTCCTCTACACAACATTATCAATAATAATTTAAACGTGTAACGCACTGCACAGTATTTGCTCATTCTCAAGGACAACTCAGAGGCGCAATGAACCACAGACAAGCAGAAAGACAGAAGCTAAGCAGTGAGGAGCCTGCAATATCACAGTTTAACACGTAGGCTTTCGCAACCAATATCATCCATAATAGTTTTTTTTTGGGTTAGAGCGCGTAAATATATATATAAATGTGTCATTAAAGCCCGCCACCACCCGACACAGCCAACTAGTAAGGGTTGTCAATTAAACAGAACATGCCAATTCGTTCCTAGTACAGCACACCGGTGTGTTGGAGAGCAAATCCACAACATTTACAATGAGTACGAAGTTTCGCTAGTAATTTCAATTTGTGGAGAAATCTTCCTTTTTCGATGTGATGACGTCACTTGTTAGCCAATCAAGTGCGCTAGGGGGCCGGGGGTTATTAATGAATGCATATAAATGACAAAGATTAATCCATTACAGGTTGGGTTATTTATACGGTTAATAAATGTACATTATGCATGCACATTGTTCTTGTACCTGCAGTCGTTTGTGTGCACTTAAATAGCAGTACCTGTTATTGTCTGCCTACAGGTAACCTCCATTGATGTATGGTAACCTGGAAAGGCATGCATTTAAACAATGTATAATTGAATGATTCGCTTCCATACAGTACTAATAGATATGCGCTCTAACACCAAAAAAATACCTGTATTATGGATGGTTGAGTGTGTTCGTGGTGAGTCTGTATGAATGAAGAGTATGGTGAGTGTGTGCTCGTGGTGAGTGTGTGTCAGTGGTGAGTGTGTGTGTTAGTGGTGCATTTGGTGAGTGTGTGCTAGTGGTGAGCCTGGTAAATATGCGCTAGTGGTGTGTGCAATGGTGAATGTGTATGTGTTGGTGGTGAGTGTGATCAGCGAGTGTGTAGCTATCCGAACGGTTACAAATATTATTTAGTTTTCTCCAGGATATTTCCATGAATCTGGTTGTCAGCCTGATGATGATAGTTGTAATTACTGGCGAAATGTCGTACTCAGATTGTAAATGTTGTGGCTTGGCTCTCCAACACACCGGTGTGCTCTACTAGTGACCAATTGGCATGTTCTGTTTAAGTGAGAACCCTGCACTAACACAATTGCTCTAGCTCTGCGGTCCCCTAGCTTTGGTTCTATCGGCCAATTAACGAGCGTTATACACGTAGGAGAAAACCGGAGCACCCAGAGAAAATCCCCGGATGTGAGGGGGCAACACTTCATCCCATACAGATGGAACAGGTGAAGTCCACACTTTGCCTTACTGCCTTCTCCTGGCGAGCATGAGTATGGCTCCTCCTCGATATGCACAGGGAGTTTACAGCGTGTGTGATCTACCAACCCTCACTGCTGCCTTCAGTGCTTGATTATAGGCCATAAGCATAGCTGCCACCACCACTGCCTGGATATTAATTTCATGTTAGAGGGTTGCCATCACCACCACCCCCACCATTATCACCCCCCCATCACCACCACCACCATCACTCCCATCATCACTATTATCACTCCCACCATCATCACACCCACCATCAACACCATGGCCATCACCTTCATCATCATCACCCCCATTACCCCCTATCACGACCACCACCATAATCACTCCCCATCACCATCATAGCCCCCAACAACATCACCACTATCATTACCCCCCATCATCATCACCACCACCACCACTATCATCACCACCAACATCATCACCACTATCACCACCACCAACATCATCAGCACCAACATCATCAGCACCAACATTACCACCACCAACATCACCACCACCAGCATTATCATCATCACCATCATAATCAGCACCAACATTACCATCATAATCAGCACCAACATTACCATCACCCCCAACCATCATCGCCATCACCACCTCTCACCCATCTTGGCTGTGTTTTCTCTTCTTGTCTACCGGGAGCGTCACCTCACCACCACCACTGTCGTCATCATCATCGTCCTCGCCCAGGGAGATTCGAGGCTTCAACACGGACCCAGATCTCTTCACCCAGCCAAACGACGTCATCGCCTCCCCTATACATCATCAACAATAGCATCGACATCAGCAATAACGTTAATTATTGTTGTTATTTTTTTTAAATCGTTTGTTGACCCTCCAGAAAGCCTTAGTCTCAAGGCTCACTTTTTCTCAAGTTCCAATTGAGTCATTTTGAAAAGCTGGAGGAATTCCATGCAAAACTGGGGGAGAACCTACAATCCGCTACGAACCTGGCGACCCGAGTTTGATTCCCGCTCACGGCCAACGCCACTGACATTTTTCTCTGAACAACCGGCCCTGTGCAACCCCTAGGTCCACTCGGCCTCAAACGAGTACCTGGTGCCAAGAGGGAGACAAAGGCGACCGGGCGTGGTGCTTGCCACCTTCGTGCGCCGTGCCGGCCTTCATTGGTGCCGCTAACAGCATTTGCCACACAACATACAAAGACTGAGGCGAGTGCTGTTAGCGAGCACCCATTAAGACAGGAACGGCACACGGGGGGGGGGGGGGGGTGGCCAACACCACGCCCGGCCGCCTTTGTCTCCCTAGTGCCCCCCCCCCCAGCTTTGTCGCCCCCCAACTACGACCAGGCCGATCCCAACCCCTCTATCAATCCATCTTGAGTGTCTGCATCAAAATTACACCACCTACAATAACCCAACTCTTTATTTCAAATTATTGTCATGCTATGCATATTTTTATAATTGCTGCAAAGCGCCTTGGTAAATCTCAAAAGTTAGGAAAATATTTTGTTACTATACACCGCACAATGTACTCATTTGAGGCCGAGTCGACCCAGGGGAGACCCAGGACCGGTTCAGATAATCGTCACTGGTGTTGGCCGTGAGCGGGAATCCAACTCGGGAAGGCTGCAACCACCGCTCCACGAAACACACTCGCATGCACACACCAACCCACACACTCGCATGCACATACACTCACCCACACACTCACCCACAGACTCGCATGCACACACACTCACCCACACACTGACACACACACTCGCATGCACACACACTTACCCACACACTCACCCACAGACTTGCATGCACACACACTCACCCACACACTGACCCACAAACTCGCATGCACATACACTCACCCACACACTCACCCACAGACTGGCATGCACACACATTCACCCACACACTCGCATGCACATACACTCACCCACACACTCACCCACAGACTCGCATGCACACACACTCACCCACATACTCGCATGCACACACACCCACAGACTCGCATGCACACACACTCACCCACACTCACCCACACACTCACCCATACACTCACCCACTAACTCACCCACACACACTAATCCACACACTCGCATGCACACACACTAACCCACACACTCGCATGCACACACACTCACCCACACACTCGCATGCACACACACTCACCCACACACTCGCATGCACAAACTCACCCACACACTCGCATGCACACACACTCACCCACACACTCGCATGCACACACACTCACCCACACGCTCGCATGCACACACACTCACCCACACGCTCGCATGCACACACACTCACCCACACACACTCACCCACACACTCGCATGCACACACACTCACCCACTCACCCACACACTCACCCACACACTCACATGCACACACACTCACCCACACACTCACATGCACACACACTCACCCACACACACTCACCCACACACACGCATGCACACACACTCACCCACACACTCGCATGCACACACACTCACCCACACACTCGCATGCACACACACTCACCCACACACTCGCATGCACACACACTCACCCACACACTCGCATGCACACACACTCACCCACACACTCGCATGCACACACACTCACCCACACACTCGCATACACACACACTCACCCACACACTCGCATGCACACACACTCACCCACACACTCGCATGCACACACACTCACCCACACACTCGCATGCACACACACTCACCCACACACTCGCATGCACACACACTCACCCACACACTCGCATGCACACTCACTCACCCACACACTCGCATACACACACACTCATCCACACACTCGCATACACACACACTCACCCACACACTCGCATGCACACACACTCACCCACACACTCGCATGCACACACACTCACCCCCACACTCGCATGCACACTCACTCACCCACACACTCGCATGCACACACACTCACCCACACACTCGCATGCACACACACACTCCCCCACACACTCGCATGCACACACACTCACCCACACACTCGCATGCACACACACTCACCCACACACTCGCATGCACACACACTCACCCACACACTCGCATGCACACACACTCACCCACACACTCGCATGCACACTCACTCACCCACACACTCGCATGCACACACACTCACCTACACACTCGCATGCACACACACTCACCCACACACTCGCATGCACACACTCACCCACACACTCGCATGCACACTCACTCACCCACACACTCGCATGCACACACACTCACCCACACACTCGCATGCACACACACTCACCCACACACTCGCATGCACACTCACTCACCCACACACTCGCATGCACACACACTCACCCACACACTCGCATGCACACACACTCACCCACACACACTCGCATGCACACACACTCACCCACACACTCGCATGCACACACACTCACCCACACACTCGCATGCACACTCGCCCACACATTCGCATGCACACACACTCACCTACACACACACACCCACAGACTCGCATGCACACACACTCACCCACACACTCACATGCACACACACTCACCCACTACACTCGCATGCACACTCACCCACACACTCGCATGCACACTCACCCACACACTCGCATGCACACTCACCCACACACTCGCATGCACATTCACCCACACACACTCACCCACACACTCGCATGCACACTCACCCACACATTCGCATGCACACACACTCACCTACACACACACACACAGACTCGCATGCACACACACTCACCCACACACTCACATGCACACACACTCACCCACACTCGCATGCACATTCGCATGCACACACTCACCCACACACTCGCATGCACACTCACCCACACACACACTCACCCACCCAAACACTCACATGCACACACTCACCCACACACTCGCATGCACACACACTCACATGCACATTCGCATGCACACACTCACCCACACACTAACCCACACCAACCCACACACTCACCCACACACTCGCATGCACACACACTCACCCACACACTCGCACAGACCCCCCCCCCCTCCCCGTAGAGTCTCAACAGGGTGGACCAGCACCACGCCCGCCATCCCGACCGCCTTTGTTTCCCCAACGCACACCGCACCACGAACTGAGACGAACTCGGGGAAGCCGGCTTCGTACCGCAGCGCCACGACCCCACCGCTCCCCACAGAGCCGCAATGGGGGGGGGCGGCCCGAACCTTTCGTTTTCCCACCTCATTTGAGGCCGAGTCCACCCAGGTGAGGCCCAGGACCGGTTTTGATGCTCGCTGGGTACAGTACACGCACTGTACATGCACTGTGCGGGGAGTCACGTGACGCGCACCGCCGGGGAGGGGCCAGCGAGGTCACGTGGGTGGGTCACGTGGTCATTATGCAAATCAGGTAAAGCACAACCAGTTCAAGTTCATATTCTTGGTTCTTTCGGTAAAGTCATCACGTAGAAGGGAAATAATAAAATAATAAAATAATAAAACATAATAAAATAATTCTCACGACGTTTCGGCCACAACGCAAGCAACCGTCCTCAGGTGGAGAACACGTCTGTCGAGGCGACAGCGTCTGAATGAAACAGCACACGAGCTTGGAGCATATATATAAGCTGGGCGCCTTGACAAAATAATTTGCATATCAAGAGGAATTTAGCATATTTATGGGAAATGCAGGAATGTGATTAGTACTACATATGCCCGTGCATTATGCAGGACTAGCAGCATCAAAGGGAAGGGATATGGGAAATGAAGGTATGTGAATAGTACTACTTACGCCCGTGCATTATGCAGGATTAGCAGCATCAAAGGGAGGGGTAGCATTAATAAAGGGAAGGAGTGTTAATAGTATGTAGCTGCAGTAACTAAAACCAACACGTAAACAACTAAAGTATAAACTAATAAGAGCTAAGCTAGTTCTAGACAGAATTCGTTTAGCATTAGAAGAAGTTACAGCAGCAGATGTTAGTGTAAAACCAAGTTCAAGTTCATATTCTTGGTTCTTTCGGTAAAATCACGTAGAAGGGAAATAATAAAATAATATGAAATTTCTATTATTTTATATATTTCTGGTCACCCCGTGCCCCTTATAAACCTCAACGTTCATCCTAGAAAGTTCCATCACAAGGGAGAAACACAAACAAAGAGACAAAATAAGTATAACCCGTAAAAACAAAGTTTTTCACTATAAATCCTTTATATGTGTGGCGGCTAGAGTCCTCTCGTTCTCTGGCTTGAGATGGCTGCCACCTATGGGTCAGATGATTGCATTGCACCATTAAGCAATTGGTAATTAAATATAATATTTTTGTCCTAAAAAGTGTAAAATTTTGGAGAATTTTTTTTCACGAACATTAATTGTCTTGCACAACGAGTCTGTGTGCAAAATGTCAGCTCAATTGGATCACGGGAAGTGGGTTAAAAAACGACCGAAAGATTTGCACGGTCCTAAGCAAGCAAGCAAGTGAACTTAATATAAAGGATTTAAAAATGGTTGCCCGTATTGAAACGGCTCTCCGCCGTATGGACCAGAAAACGAAATATCCATGTACAAGAGTACGGGTATTATTTGATATATTATCTAATATAAATATTTATATTATTTTATTATTTCCCTTCTATGTGACTTTACCGAAAGAACCAAGAATATGAATCCCTGCAGTCATGAAAGCTTTAAATCAAAGTTCAAGTTCATTAGATATTGCCCTGTGAGCCATTCGGTTCTTGAATCGGGTGCAACCTCAACAAACAAAAAACAAAAACATGAAAAAGAAAACATCTTAAAGTGCTTGCTTGCGTGCTTGCTTGCTTGCGACCGTGCAAATCTTTCGGTCGTTTTTTAACCCACTTCCCGTGATCCAATCGAGCTGACATTTTGCACACAGACTCGTTGTGCGAGACAATTAATGTTCGTGAAAATTTTTTTCCAAAATTTTACACTTTTTAGGGAAAACAAATTAAATATTTAATTACCAATTGCTTAATACTGGCAGATAATCATCTGACCCATGGGTGGCAGCCATCTCAAGCCAGAGGACGAGAGGACTCTAGCCGCCACGCATATAAAGGATTTATAGTGAAAAACTTTGTTTTTACGGGTTATACTTGTTCACAGCGAAGTAGGTGCCCATTACCAGGCTAAATTACCAGGCTAATACATTGCTGAGGCGGATAAGTCTGAGCATTAAAATGTGAGGCAGTGCACACATGGACACAGACGTGAAACTGAAATATATACCGTGCAATGTAAACCCAAGCGGCCTAAGGTTCGTGCAACACTCAACGGAATAGTGAGCAGCCTCCCCCATCATTGTCCCTGGTCTCATTGTGAAGGGCTAGTGGGGGAGTGGGAGGGGCTAGTAAGAAGTAAGAAGGTCGAGCGGGAGTGGGAGGGGTTAGTAAAAAGTAGGAGGAGCTAGTGGGGGAGTGGGAGAGGCTCATGGGAAGTGTGAGGGGCTCTTGGGGAGTGGGAGTGGCTAGTGCGAGGGACTAGTGTAGAGTGGGAGGGACTAAATCTTGACAAAACTTTTGTGACTGCAGGAATTCATATTCTTTGGGTCATTCGGTAAAGTCACGTCGATAGGTTCAAAAGAAATAACAAAAAACTACGACATTTCGATCGCGACACCAGCGTTCGTCATCAGGAAGAGGGAGTTAGCTTCTAAAAGCAAACTGTTTATAAAGGTGTAGTGCTGAACTTTACGCGGACAACTTCTTCTTTTTCTGTCGTCACTTTATTTTGTCCAACACAGCACATTTTGCCGCCATTCTCCAACGGGTTCTCCGCTCGCTCGCGGCGCTCCGCCGGCCTCGCTCGCTCCGTTCTTCCCTCTCTTTCTCTCCGTCTTTCCCGACTCCCCTCTCTGCTTCTCCGTCCCACTCCAGCCGTCGCTCTCTCTCGGCTTCTCCGTCTCACTCCGACTGTCTCTCTCGTTCAGCTTCTCCGTCTCTACACTTCTTCTTCTCCACCACTACTCTACGCTTCTTCTTCTTCTGCTCCGACCGACTCCGTCCAGCTCCCAGCACAACTCCCCGTCTCACTCTGACTCTCCCGGATTTATGCCTGTCCCTATTAATTTCCAATTAATTACTGGCGTCGCCCCCAACGCCCCCAGCCCCCAGCGCCACCTGTCCCCATTCCCTGACAACAACAACCGGCCAATCACTGCCCTGCATCCATAATTGCCTAACGGGCCGTCTCCGTCTCCCCCGTTGTCCCCCAGCAACACCAGCATGTCCCGGTACGACCCCACTGTTCCCAGCCCGCACGTGTTTACAATGATCCCCCTTGGCGCACGTTAAACCACTGCAAAGGTATGAAAAGGGCGTAGCGCCAATGTCAGCAGCCAATGTTAATGTAAGTGGTGGGCAGCGATCGCGATGGTGGTGGGCTTGCCACCAATCAAAGGGCTGTCAAGTAAAAATGTGCATGTTAATGTAAGATTACATTTATCACACTAACACAGCCACCTCGCTCACCGAGCTCGATGTTGCTGCTCTTCGATCTCCCATTAACATGCTAATCTCTCACATTAACATAGCCACCTCAGGGCGTTTGCTGTGGAGGGCGCTCAACGATCTTACATTAACATGCTGCTGACATTTGAGCTATGCCCATTTCATACCTTTATAAACAGTTTTCCTTTAGAAGCGAACCCCCTCTTCCTGATGATGATCGCTTGTGTTGTGATCAAAACGTCGTCGTTTTTTGTTATTTTCTTTGAACCTATCTACGTGACTTTACCGAAAGACCCAAAGAATATGGGAGGGACTAGTTGTGAGTAGGAGGGCCTGGTGGGGGAGTGGGAGGAGCTAGTGTGGAGTAGGAGGCCCTGCTGGGGGAGTGAGAGGGGATATTGGGTGGAGGGGCGGCTATTTGGTGAGTGGGCGGTGTTAGTGGGTGACAGCTTGGCTCTGCGCCTCAGTCAAGCATGATATAGCACGAGAACAAATGAATGTGTTTACACATGGCATAGTAATCATTATTAACATCTCCACGACTCTTTTGTCAATGCGCACGTTGCTGATTCGTATGTTGCAGCAGCCAATGCGGTCTGATCGAAAACATTTTTCTTCAGCAACAGTGTTTGTTCACTATCAAGTTCAATTTTACAAAAAAACATTCCAAAACTTGTTTTAATCTCACTGTGATCCCGGTCAATCTTGAATAACTGCCCTAGGTTGTATCCCTCCGGTAAAGATCATCTCGTGAATTTTGTAGTGCATGACTTAATGTTCAGTTGCACATTGCCAATCCACTGCTAGATGACGGCCCTCCTGTACCGTGCCGGCCGTGGGTGGTTGCTTAACCATACTTCACCACACTGGGTTTGATCTTCCTCGAAGCTCATGGTCCACCCTAAACCGCATCTACTGCATAAACCATGGCAGTAGATGCGGATACCTGATGCACAAATGGAAAATGAAACATCTCCAGTGTGCGACTGTGGTCATCCAGATCAGACCTTACAATGTGAAACGACGCAATACCTGAATCACGAATACGGATACATCACATACACACTCCACTACTCCTGATGGACGTGGTGGCGAGATGTTACCTTCCTCTCCTGCGATGAAGGACGTCGTGAGTTTGATCCTAACCCTGATGCCTGCGGTATATTTGGAGTTTGCGTCTCTTTCGTGGTCGCATGGAATTTTCTCAGGGACCTCCGGTTTTTCCCCTCCACATTTAGAAACATGCGCGTAGAGTTTTTGGCTGCTATAAATTCCCACAGGGTAAGCCTCTTTTTGTTGAGATATGATTTGTGATAGCCAGGTCGCTTCTGAAAAAGAGCTATATAGCTCGGTGGGCTTTACCTGGTAAAATGAAAACAATTAATTGAATAATCTTCTGATGTGGTTGATGGTTCCGCCAGTGTATTTGAGAAGTAACATAGAATCCAGGAGGTCTGATGTCGCTATCTGGAGTGAGGTGTTTATTCTGGTGGCCTATAACACCTGCGTATGCATACGCAGTATACTGAGTTGAACTCCGTTCTTCGTCGCTGCTTAATAAATAGGGATAATGATACAATTCTGTTTTAGTCGATCAGCCGATTGGCTTTCCAGGAAAACGTTTATCAATCAGCATTAACTTAAGCAAGCGAAACTTGGAACTAGCATCAACCATCTGGGTTTCATCAGCAGTGTCAGACTGAGAGGCGGATCTAGAAACTAGGGGGAGTTTGGGAGGGGCGGGAACAGACGCTGCTGGATGAATTACCAGATGCTATTTGCAATAGCTCTCCGTACGAAATAAGAGAATGTGTTTAACACAATAAACAAAGGATGCCCTGCCGTGGAACCATAATTTCTAAAAGCACACGTGGTATTACAAAT